TTCTCCACCTTGATAGTCCTTATGGCTTTTGTCAGTTTGACATAATCTTATCTTCTAAGGTTCTTTGCTGGTCTATGTGAAGCACCTTCTTGGAGAAGGGGCCTTTGCCCAAGTCTATGAAGCTATTCATGGAGATGTGAAAGATACCAAAAGTAAACAGGAATGTATTTTGAAGGTAAATGATATGAGTAATTTATTGTATAATGTAGATGTGAATTTTAGAAGTTGTTAACCTCTCCTGACTCCCCTTTAAATACCACTATCAACAGTTAAAACAACTATCCTATGGAGACTCAGAATTGTCCTAGCACTAAGATTATCCTGCAGGCCCTGTACTCCTGGCCAGTGCCTAACTTGTCCTCACTTTTTGTCCACATCCTTTGCCTGGAGGAGTTGCTTTCTTACTGTTCTTTTCACAGAATATGGATGAGGATATGCATATCACCTGCCTGATTTGATTTTCAGGTTCAGAGACCTGCCAACTCCTGGGAATTCTACATTGGGACTCAGCTGATGGAAAGACTAAGGCCAGAAGTACATCACATGTTCATCAAGTTTTATTCTGCTCACTTATTTCAGAATGGCAGTATATTAGTAGGGGAGCTCTACAGCTATGGCACATTACTAGTAAGTGTATAATTTTCATGACATGAACATGAAACTATGTGCATTTCTGGTTTTTACTCACACTATTTTTCACATTTGGAACTTTTGTTTGGATAGAGAGTAGGCATAAAGCCCTTGACTTGAAATTTCATTTCTTTAATCTTTCACAGTCAACTTAACATACCATTTGCTTTATTTCTAGAATGCCATTAACCTCTATAAAAATACTCCTGAAAAAGTGATGCCTCAGGCTCTCGTCCTCACTTTCGCCATCAGAATGCTTTACATGGTTGAACAAATCCACAGCTGCGAAATCATTCATGGAGACATTAAGCCAGATAATTTCATTCTAGGTCACAGGTAAGTGTGACGCTTTAGTGGAGTTCTTCCTAACATTTCACTTTTTTTTTTCGTATACATACGTACGTACATACATACATACATACATAGACATATACACACGCATATATATGTGAATTGTTTTGTTTGGTATCCTTTTGTCATTTATACTCACAGATCCTGGTCCTTGTTTGTATTTAATGTAGATTTTTGGAACAGGATAATGAAGATTTAGCTACCGGCTTGGCACTGATTGACCTGGGTCAGAGTATAGATATGAAACTTTTCCCTAAAGGAACGGCATTTACAGGAAAGTGTGAAACGTCTGGTTTTCAGTGTCCTGAGATGCTCAGTAACAAGCCATGGAACTACCAGGTATGGAAGGAAAGCGAGAGGTTTGAAACCATTGTCTTATTATACTTACCAGAATTTCAAAATGAGTTTAGAGCTCCAGGTGGTTTGAACTGGTCTCTTGGGTCTTGAAGGAAAATTAGAATGTAAGGCAAAAGAGCATGAAGAAATTCTACTTCTGAAGAATCTTCCTTTCTTAGTACAGATTCTATCAACAGCAGAAAAGCAAATACATTCTATGGGAAGGTTCCAGAATTTTCAACAAAGTAGAATATTAGCTGGCAAGAAAAATAATAATACTAATTAGAATAACTATGTTTTGAGCCTGCGATAAAATGGAAACAAACATTGCCAAGTTTCCAGATAAAAGCTGACTTCTAGAACCCCATAATAAAGAGAGTACACGTGAGGGTCTTGCTTCTCGACAGTTACTACCAGTAAGACTTCAGGTAGATGAATGCTGATCTGGGCATGAAGTGTAGATAGTTTGCTATCTACAGATTTGGACCATTTTAGAATGTTCTTTTCTATTATGAACACATCACAAAGAGGCATTGGTGTGCAGTTATGATCACCAGAGTCCCAGTGGATAGGATTCGAAGAACTGCCAAGTTGAGAGATATTGTATTTGCAGCAAGTGATATAACAGCAGACTTGAGGAGGACATTTATTTAAGATAGAGCTTCCCAAAGGGTTTGTCAGAGGCAAATGTTTTGTGTTTTGTGTTCATAGAAGCCTCACTGAGAGCTTGGACAGGCATTGAGTGAACCAAATCATTGTCTTACACAATTCTGTAAACCTTGTGATTGCTTAGTTTCTAAGTTAGAGACATATTTTAATGCATTCACAGGTATGTTACTGTTTATGATGCATCTATCTGTTTTCTTTATAGGTTGATTACTATGGAGTTGCTGCATCAATATACTGTATGCTGTTTGGCACTTACATGAAAGTAAAAAATGAAGGAGGAGTCTGGAAACCTGAAGGTCTTTTTAGAAGGTAGGTTATTGACATTGATGCTACAGTGAAAAAAACAATAACAGTAAAATGATAGATTTTATTTAGCCAGAAAATGAGCCTGCGCAGTATAGTGACAGCGCAATTCTGACATTAGGCACTGATATCTAGCATTCAGTGTGCCTCATCAAACCATTGAGAGCTCCTGGCATGTGGTTAGCATTCTGTTCTTGATTATTTTTCTTCATTGTAAGTGAAGTCAATATTGGTGAGCCTTGTGGTGTGGGGTTTTTTGTTTGTTTGTTTTCTTGTTTATGTAAATGAGAATTCTGATGATCCTGGTTTCTCAGATCTTATAAGCAAAGGAAATAATATGGGTAAAGCTGTTTTGTAAATTAGAAGAATGTGGTAACTTCTATTACAAGACAGGATTTTAACCTCCAGTCCTATGTGACTTTAGTTTTAGAAAATACTTGAAGGTTAACGATTGGTCTGGAGGGGATCATGTCAGCATTGTTCCTAGAGTAACACTGTAAATATACCACTGGTGAAGTTGAATTGAGGCTGCTTATTTATGTGTGCATGTTTCTATATATCATACTAACTTCTGAGATATAAAAACGAAATTATTCGTGTGTTTAGCCTAATGGAATCTTACATGTTTATTCCTTCTTAGAAAAATTTAAACTTAGATTTCCTTCATTCTTCCCACCCACTTCCAAAACAGCAAAGAGCTTGCACAAAATTGATAACCATCATGTACAGTAGGTACAGAACCCAAAAGAAAACTTACAACAGAGGTTTTTATTCTGTATAGAACCATCAAATTCAGCAAGTACTTTATTCACTTTGTTGTTTCTCTTCTTTATTAGCAAAGGACCAGAGGGTTCAGAAGGCTTCCATCTATTGCCAGTAACAGAAAAGCCCAAAGCTTCCTTCTCAGTTTCCATCCAGAGTGATATTTTAGTATATTCTGCTTTCTCTCCAGGGCCTTTTCCTCATGTTTTGGAGTTTTGGGTTTTGTTTTTGGTTGTTGTTTATTTGTTTGTTTGTTTGTTCCCAATTAACTTTGATCACTTTTAGGTGGCCAGGACCCTTAAGTGTGAGCTCTATTCTGAATAGTGCAGCCTGTCTATCTGTCCAGTCTTGCCACACATGTATGCAGTTGGGCTTATCAGAACCAAATAACAATATTATCAGAGTCTAGCAGTGTGTTATATAAAGGGAGCCAAAGGAAGATAGATTTTCTTTAAGTGATAATTTTTCTACTGAAGAACTGTTGCTAAAAGGCTATTTTAAATTATGTTTTTAAAAGAAGGTAAATTTAGATATTTGGTTGGATTTTTAATTTCTCCTGTTTGTAATGGTTTGGGGGTAGGAGGGATATGTTCGAGACAGGGTTTCTCCGTGTAATAATCCTGCCTGTCCTGGACATGGCTTTGTAGACCAGGCTGGCCTTAAAGAGATCTGCCTGCGTCTACCTCCAGTTGTGATGGAGTCTTGATTTGTTGAGATACAGATAGATGAGAGTTGTTCCTTCAACGCGTCCACACCTCTGGAAGGTAGATGCAGGAACAGGTTGCTATGTATTTGAAGGTTTTATTTTATTCATTGTGATATTTTGTCTCTCCAGGCTTCCTCATTTGGATATGTGGGAGGAATTCTTTCACATCATGTTGAATATACCGGATTGTCAGCATCTTCCATCTTTGGATTTGTTGAGGCAAAAGCTGAAGAAATTACTTGAACATCAGTATTCCAACAAAATTAGGACCCTGCGTAATAGGCTAATTGTGCTGCTTTCAGAATATAAGCGTTTGAGAAAATAAAATATGAATATGGACCTTCTACAAAAAATACTTTGTAAATTTAAACTCTCATCTTAAATCCTGCTTTTTTATACTTATTATTTATGTATGTAAAAAATAAAGCCTATAAGATACACTCATGTGGCTTAGTTGTTATATTTTAACAAAATAAAATAAGGAGACCTATGTGAAGCAGGCTGATCCATTGTTCTTGCTGTACAAGTCTTCATGAGAATGATTCAAATTTAAATGTTTTTTAAAAATCACTTTTCTAAGCACTGACCTATTTAAGTCCAAAGTAGGCCATAAAGACTTCAAATTTATGTAAGTGTCGTGGCATTTTCAGGCAAAATTTGTTTTGATTTCCCCCCCATCTTTCTGACCTACTTTGCACTCTCTTTCATTCCCTCCCATATAGCTTACTTTCTGCTTTCATGTCTCATCTGTCCTTGCTCCTTCCTACATCCTCAACATCGTTTTTCCTTAAGGTCTTTTTAATTTCATAGCCTACACTCATTGTTGACCCACTTATATGCATATGAACAGTGTAAATTAGGTCTGCATAAGAAAGAAAATGTTTATCTTTCTGATTTCATCTACTTTCATACAAACTTCAAGATGTACATCTGAATAGAATTCCATTGTGTTTGGTACCACATCCTCCTTACCCATCCATCAGTTGCTAGACATCTAGACTGCTTCCATTTCCTTGCTATTGTGAATAGAGGAGCAATAGATGTTCAGGTTTCTTTTTTTTTTTTTTTTTTTTTTTTTTTTTTTCTGTGTTGCCTTGGCTGTCCTGGACTCATGTTGTAGACCAGACTGTCCTGGAATTCACCCCTGCTAGTCAATTTCTACTGACCTACGAGTCACAGGACGCGGCGTCCTTTCCTCGCGCATGCTCAGAGCGGGCCCCAAGGGAGTGCTTCGGTATTTGACCCTCGCGCGGTTCCGTAGCTCACGTCGAAGCCGGGTGTTTGCAATGGCGGACGTGTCTGAAAGGACTCTGCAGGTGTCCGTGCTAGTGGCTTTCGCCTCTGGAGTGGTCCTGGGCTGGCAGGCGAATCGGCTGCGGAGGCGTTACCTGGATTGGAGGAAGCGGAGGCTGCAGGACAAGCTGGCGACGACTCAGAAGAAGCTGGACCTGGCCTGAGCGCGCGCCGCGGCCCGGGCACGCAGGGTTCTCACAAGCCCAGATGTCGATGAGCAGCGCGCGACCACTAGCCCGTAAGTCCCGGGTCGCCTTTGCAAGGCGTGCAGGCACGTGGCTTGCTCCTAGACCTCAGAAAGAAAACAGTGTTGTCCTAATAACTGACTCTCCAGTGTTCACACCTTAGTTTTCTGAGGGAATTTAATGGGAATGTTTTACCACCTGCGATGCAGTTAACTTGGAAATGGAAAACACTGGACAGAAAAACAAGAAGGAACTGTGAAATATTTCAGGTCTCAGCCCCCAAATTCATTTTTATAGGTCCATGGTAATGCCGTGGCTTTGACATTTTGCAAATATAAGTTGGAAGTCTCTCGTAGATAAAGTAGAAGTAGTTTTTTATGTGGATGGCAGGAGCCTTGCGTGTCATCATAGCTATTCATCAGCGCTTTGGTTTTCTTCTCTCTCTATAGTTCATGGTTTAACATCACAGTACAGTTATTTGAAGTTAAAGATTGTGTGTTGCTGATTTTTCTTTCTGTTTTTCAACAGCTTGTCGAAGATGGATATGAAGCACTGGAAGAAAATAATTTCTTGGCACTTTATGAATCTATTTTTAAAATAAAAAAAATGTAAACATCTTTGAATCCTTTCCCTCCTCACAAAGGGAAGGATTATTTTGCTACAGTAAGATCTGGATTCTGAAAACAGAGACTTTCTCGTGCATTCGTTCACATCCTTGGTACAGCCTGGATACTTGATCAAGGGACCAGTGTGGGTCATTTTTCTAGACATATTCAGAAAAGCTAGGAGCTGTGTCAAATGACTAATGTAAACATTATAAATGTAAGTTATTTGCACTTTGAAGAATGAAAGTTTACTACAAATGCAGAGTATATATATAGTGTAATGGAATATACATGAGAAAGAGAAACCTTTGAGTAGTGATAAATTCCAGTAATATCAAGTGACCAAGTTCCTGGTTGGGTGTTTCTAAGATGCATTTCTGACACATTGTTCTCATTAAGAAAATCAGTTTTGTGTCTCAGCTCCATTTAATACAAGAAAATTAAGTTCATTCTTCAAAAAAACCTTACTGCCCCTTTTCCTGGGATTACTTAGCCTTATGTCCTTCTGTTCTTATATGAATCCAACAAGGGCTAAAATTCTGGTTCTTAGGGCTCCAACCTGTCTAGGCTTTAGTTGGCTGTCTTTAGTCAACATCCCTGTCTGAGACTTAGTTGAGGATCTTTGACACAGGGTCGGGTTGGGTTCTTATTTGCCTGTGGGTGGTGGTGGGGTGGTGAGCAATTGTTCGGGGACCAGAGGTCAGCTTCAGGTGCCTTCCTAGACTGCTCTCCACGTCTTTTTCCTCATGCATGTCTAGTGTGTGTATCTTATGTATGTTCACATGTGTATGAGTGCACATGTGATTACATATGTAGCTGTAGACTCAAGGTTTGTCATAGGGACTGGCACTTCTGCTATGGGTTCTGGGAATCCAAACTAGTCACATTGCAGCAGGCCCTTTAACCATGGCCCCATCTCCCCAGCCCTCCTTTTTCAGACAGGGTCCCTCACTGAAGCTGGGAATGTATATTTGGCTGGGATGGCTCGCCTCTGAGCTTCAGAGATACGCCTATTTCCAAACCCCAAACCCTTATCCTCAGCACTAGTATTACAGACCGCCCTGTCCCATCGTAAGTATGTACGTGGATATTTGGTGTTTGAAGCCAGATCTTCATGCATGTGCAGCAGGCATTTTCCTAGTTAAGCCATCTTCAGCCCCAGGGTAGTGGAAGAGTTTTAGTGATCATCATTAGTTGGGGTAGGTTTCTTGAGGTACATTTTGTCTTAAACAGAAAATGCAGGTTAAACTGAGTTGTGACTGGACCGGGCTCTGCCGCTGGGCTTGTGAACGACCCGGTGTGGGCACTGTTTTTTGTTTGTTTTTTTTTTTAATTTTATGCGTATGAATGTTTTGCCTGCATGCATCTGTGTGCCATATGCATGCCTGGTTCCTGCACAGGCCAGAGAATGGTGTGGGATCCCCTGGAACTGGAGTTATAAGGCAGTTAGGAGCTGCCATGTAGATGCTGGAAACCGGACCTGGGTCCTCTGCAAGAGCAGTTGATAGTCTTAACCACTGAGCCATGTCATCAGCCCTTTGTTCTCATTGCTTACGTAGAGCATCCAGACACGCTGTCCTTTATGTGTCACCTCTGGACGTCCCTCTCATGTTGGTGCCCTATGCCATGCTAATCTTGTTCTCTACTACCTGTTCGTGCCCCAAGCCTTGTAGTGCAGCAGCCCCCCCCCCATGACATCACGTACGCCCCATTTCTTTTCCTTCTACTTTCCTATACTTTTAAGTAGTTCCCGCATCCTCCACACTGGAAAACAGTCTTCAGTGGAGGTGGTACTTCTCAGTCAAATTGGAATCAGTAAGTTGTGAACCAGAAGCCATAACAGCAGTCAGATACCTTGGGAATAACATGCCGGCTTGTCAACTGGTGAGCTTGGACCATCACCATTCTTAACTCCAAGGTGGCTGTAGTGGAGTTTGGGAACTGGATTTAGAGGGTTGAGGCACAGAGGAGATACCACCACCCTCCTGAGAGTAACAAAATTTGGGGCTCTTGAGACATATCTGTTTGCCCCAGGCTTGCCGCGCAAGGCAGAATCGCATAAAAATTTTGGACAAACCCTTTAGCAATACCCAAATGGCAAGAATTTAAAACCGTCTCTGTGCGGTGGCACAGGCCTTTAATCCCAGCACTAGAGAGGCAGAGGCCGGTGGATCTCTGTGGGTGCAGGGCTACACAGTAAGGCAAGGAATTACTAAAACCACCTTCAGGGTGAACGTATACAAGCGCCACAGGGAAAAGCTCTCGTGGCTAAGGAGTCTTCCCATGCTTAAACTATTTTTGAAGATGAGTTTCGAAGAACCGGGTTCGGAAAGCCGCGTAGAACAGAGCACCGCACGGCACGAGTCCGGGACTCCCGGGGACGTCCACAAACAACCCCTGGGAATCCAGAAGGGAAAAGGCTTGTTTTGCAGCGCCGAAACCCCTGGCGCTAGGTGGCGGCGCCCGCTGATAGCGTCATCAGCAGAGCCCCGGCTTTGGTTTCCCTGGCAACCGGCGCCGTCCCGCCGGCGGCGGCTAGGCCGATGCTCGCCCGGCGGCCGCGGGACCCGCTGCAGGCGCTGAGGCGCCGCGGCCAGGAGCTGAAGCTGCAGGTACGTCGCGGGGGAGAGGGCCCCACATCCCAGCCCCTCGCTAGGGGCCGAGCACCGGGCGGCCGCATTCCAACCCGGACCCCCGCCGTAGATAAAACTTCCAGGAAGCCTTGCGGCTCAGCCAGCAGCTCGGTCTAACGACCCGCCAGCCCCCAGCATCCCTCATCCCTCCCACCCACGTCTAACTAACCAGATCTACCCCACTCCTCTCCTCTGGAAGTCATCGCATGCTCATTTAAGAAAAGTTAATTTCAGAGGGAACCAAGAACTTTAAAAAGAGGTAAGAATCACAATGATCTTAAGTCCTAACACCCAGTGCTGGGAAGACGCGATAAAATAGGCGATGCTCTGCTGTATAAGCTACAGCATTTCTGGGCAGCAGTTTGACGAAATGTGGCAAACATTGTTCCTCCTAGGCCGGTTGATTACATTTCCAGGAACCTACCATTTGAAATAATTTAAAATTGGGACAGAGATGCTTATAATGAAAAACTGGGTATGAATAAATTAGGGGGATGAGTAAACTAATCCATGAATGAATTCTTGTCACACAGGGCTCCTTCTTGAGGGAAGGATTTAGTGGCAGGATACAAAGCTTAAACAAAAGTTTATATAGCAAAACAAAGCAGATGCTCCAGAAGACTGGTGTGTGCTGCAGGAGCTGAAGAGCAGTGTGGGGGAGGGGGGTCCTAGTGTAGATTTTTAAACAGATTTTAATCGATATTGATGACATCAGTGGCATATCCATGACCCTCTCTGAGATCGTGGTTGACTGGACTATCCTTTTAGGGTATTTATGAGGATGATCCTCTAGAAATGCCTGTATGTGGGGATGAGGAATGTCAGATTTACAGTCAGTGTAAGCGATTTAATGAAGTGCGAGCCCTTTGAGGATGCAGCACTTTTGTGTGGCAGCTGAGAAGGTGCTCTGGGCCTCCGTGGTTCTGTTACAGCAGGAACAACCTAAGTGCAGCTTCAAGAATGTTTAACCACAGAGGGGCATTCTGTCAGGAGACACTGCTACCAAGATGCGGCGCAGTTTCCCTTGGTCATGTCGTTTGTAATGCCTTACTATGTGATGGTTATCACCTGACGGAATCTGATAGTACCACGAGATTTTTGCTAGAGCTTTTGGTGTTTGGGGGTAAATATTTGTGATAAGAGGTCAAGTTAGGAAGGGAATGTAAGGCGTTAGAGAGACAGCTCCGTGGTTGAGAGCACTAGCTACTCTTCCAGACCCTAAGTACGGTTCCCAGCACCCACAGGGTGGCTCACAGTTGTCTGACTCCCAAGGAGCTGATGCCTAAATCTAGGCTGTCTGTCTGTCTCTGTCTCTCGCTGTCTCTCTCTCTCTTACACACACTAATGATTATTGGATTTTCGATAATATTTATTTTTAGTTACTTTTATATTATTAGTCAGATTATACCTAATCTGAGAGAATTTTTAAAATGCAGGGCAGGGGTGTTATAACTGTTTTCTGATGAGGAGGGTCTTTTTCAGAGGAGGTAGTTCTGGATCCATTGACAAGGGGGTCCTCTAGTCATATAGCAGTAGGGAGAGTCTTGAATTGATCAGCTGTGGTGGATCAGGTGATTGCCACCCTGTATTCCTGAAGAGACTTAGGAAATCATTATTCAAGGGGTAGTTCCTTAAATGGCCACATCTAGTATTTGTAAACATGACTTAATATATATTTTGTTAGCACCAAATTGTTATAGCTATATTCCAAGATTACATAATAAATACCAGGCTGCAAGAAGAGACTATTATAAAGTTGTACTCCCACAAAAGAGATGATTTTCAATTTTAAAATACTCCCAGAGACAATGACTGCCTTGCTGTCCCCTCAACAGTAGAAATTCCTAAGTTATTACCAAAGTTAGTGACCCCTTCTCAAGAGCACATGATTCATTCATATAAAGTTTTCTAAAGTTAACCCTTTTTAAATTTTCTACATTCTCATTTCATACACTTAAGCAACAGGTGAAACTACCAGTCATGTCAAATCTACGTGTAACATGGGCTGAACTAAGGCTAAAGGCAACTCTTTACTCTTTGTCAATGGACAGATCTCTAGGTCCCTGCACACTGACAACAGTTAGCATATTTCTTAACCTCATTCTATTTAAAAATAGATTGCTTGCTTATAGGCATAATTTGTAAGCCAGGATAACCAAATTAAATGTTTTAACAAATACTGGCTTTTGGAATGTCTTTAAAAAACAAACAAACAAATTTGCTTGCCAGCATCTCTGTGAAAGCCTGTATACTCCTTGTGGGCCTCAAGATGAGAGCGCAGGCGCTGGGCCTGGAGCTCTCTGTCTGGGTAGAGACCAGAGGATAGCCTCAAAGCAACAGGTGAGCCAGGCCAGAGAGACTCCCCTGCTCCAAGTCATCTCCTGAAGACTAAAGCCTTGGGTGTCTATCACCTGTAATAAATTATCACCCATTTAACAAAATCATTTGCCGACACTACAGATACACTGTCCAAAGCATGAATTTGATGACAGAGTGCCCGGTAGCCTCCTTTAATGACAGAACACGGGTGCTTAGGTGTGGACCCAGGAATTAACTTTCCCCAAGAGGAGGAACTACATACCAATAGACAGCAAGGGCAAAGTAGTTCCTAATTTTCTTGGGTGGCCAGCCTGGCCCAGGTTGGAGACTTTAGAGGAAAACTTTTAAAAACCTACTTGGGTCTGGAGCAGATAGGCCAAATCCCAACGCTAGAACCATGCTTCTCGGGGAGAGTAGAACAGCATGAAAGAAACTGCCAATATTATCCAGACCCTTGTGTGTCTGTAAGACTGAACTGGATGTACATATCCATAAGCAGTTTGTGGGTGTCTGCAGATGGGACAGACAACTGGGGTGCTTTTACCTCTTAGCTGTTGAAGATACAAGCAGGAGTTTCCAGGCTCGGCCAGGCAGACACTCAAGTAAAGGGAGTGGGGGAGTATAAGGCAAAAGAACTGTTACCTCAGGAAAAATTGTAAAGACGCAAATTTGGAGGCTTAACAGAAACGGTGGGTATTTCAGCTCTGGACATGATTTTAGGCCAGAGACTTGAGAAAGATTTAAGTGAGCTGGGAGTTTTATGGGGGAGGAGGCCATGGACCACACTACCATTCTGTTTTATGGAATTGTTTAAATCAGTTTAGATATTAAAAATTGGGAGTTCTGAATTTGGGCTAGCAGTGGCCATTTGTCCAGTGTATAATGAGGCCAGATTTGCCCTGAAAGGTAAAGGAAAGCCGCCAGTTTCAAGTATACAGAAAATTTGGAGCAGCCGGGGCATGGGAGGGCTTAACACAGAGTCATGGTAGCCAACTCCCTTTACAGAAATGTCAGAGTGGGAAAAACTCACTTGGAGTGGAAAAAATGAGCCAGTTTTATCTCAGGAGAAATGGAGTGAGGATTTATTAGGGAGGGAATGAAGCCAGTTTTCAGAGCATTTTTCTCCATCTTTATAAAATTTGGGGTTACGAAGCGACATCTGTTAAAATACAGCAAATGTGTGCTTCAGACTTGGGCATCTCCACATGTGAACTTAACAGAGAACTCTAGTGATGCCAGTGGTATATTATTTGAGGAAAGTATGACTTTCATGGAAAAAGGTGACTTTCATGAAGGAAAAAAAAAAACTGGATAGATCAAATCATACAGGTATAATAAGATGTTAATGGTAGGATTCAGGTAGTGGTATATATTACAAAATTCCACTTTATTGTACACCCATGTTCTAAACTGCTCATTATATATTGGAAGGAAAAGACTAGTACAATTCTGTTTCCTAAAGCAATACAGAAATTAACATGATATTTTATATTTTCTGTTTGTCTTAGGTGGAGAGTTTGGTTACTGAAAGCCAACTAACAGGTGCTCTGGAACCAAGTAAAAGGAGAGATATTTACCAAAGGTAAAGTGTGCTGCTCCTGCGCCAGCAGGGACTGTTGTTCTTTTGTTGCTGTGAGTGTTGTTTAAATGTTTAACCGTGAGGAGAATACTGTGGAAGCAACATGAGTAAAGTTTTCACAAAGGTATTTAAAAACAGCGCTTTCTCCCAGGTCTGTACTGGTTGGAGAGAGTTAGGAACAGAACTGTGTCAGGGCTGGGGGATCCTGCTTACACTTTGTTCTCTGTGCTGAGCTCCATGAGTGGTACTCTGCAAACTTTTTCTTCATTCGTCTCCACAGTAACACTGAGATACCTGTTAACATAAATGAGAAAACCAAATCAGCTGTTAAAAGGGAAGACTGTACGAATGCAGCCGAAGGTGTGAGTTCTGTGAAGGGAGAGCAGGTGCATCCTGTGGCGATGAGGCCAGGAGTTCCATGCAGTGATGTTCTACAGATCTGGAGGACCCCACATCATACCTGCCAGTGTGGTCTTGCTGTTCTCATTGACAGTAACTGTCAAACCTGGCCAGGGTGAACCTCATGGCTTAGGCAGACTTACCCTAGGATCTTGGCCTGAGGATCCCAGAATTGGTGACCTAGTCACAAATCTCTTAAAGCCATTTGTCTCTGCTTGGAATAGTAACTTCAGCTGTCTTCATGTGACGGACTGTTCTCTAGGTAAAGAATTAGCCTTGCTGCTCAGAGACTGTTGCCTAGTTCTGATGATAGAGACCTGACCTATCCTTCTCTTTTTATAATTTAGATGTATCCAGTTAAAACAGGCAGTAGATGAAAATAAAAATGCTCTTCAGAAATTAAACAAGGTAAGTGTGATGAATCACAGCAATCTCCCTTTATACAAATACTTAAGGAGGAATGAACTTCAGTTAGTAAGTTGCTGGGTGTGCGTTGAGACAAGGTCGAACCACTGCTGGCCCTGAGTTGCTTCTGCTGCTGTGAGGAATGCCATCAGCGACAGCAGCTTCAAGGAAGCTAGGGTCCATCATCGAGGGGAGCCGGGCAGGAGCTCACGCAAGAGCCAGGAGACAGAAACTGCAGCAGAGAACACAGAGCAGTGCCTCTCGCTGGCCTGCCCTCGGGCTCACACTCGGCTACCTTTCTCATACCCAGGCCTGGGGTCAGGCCCTCCAACATCAATTAATAGTCAAGAAAATGTCCCATAGCCATGCCAATAGGCCAGTCTGATGGAGGCAGTTCTTCAGTGGAGAGTCCCTTCACCAGTTGTGCCAAATGGACAACCGGAATCAGCCACCACCGTGCAGTTAGCTTGATTATGGAGCTTTACTTGAAACCAGAGCAGCCAGGACATCAGATATTAAGACTCGCTCTGATCGCTTTACCCAGCATCACCAACTCAGAAAACCTGGAAACAGCTACTTCAAGGGGTTTTTTTGTTTGGTTTTTGGTTTTTTTGCTTGCATTGGATTAGTTAAAGTTACTATGTGTTACAGTTCAGAAATGCTTCTGTAGGGAGAGAGTACCTGGTTATGAGGTCTCTGGATCACACAGAGACTCTTACCAATGACTCTACAAAAGTAAGATGAACAAGAATTCGCTCTTGACAGTCCTGTCTGGGTTCTTAAACATTAGCTGGAGTGTCCATGTGTCTAGGGCTAAAGCCACATGGAAGCCACCTGTTCTGAATGTTTGACCGTGCACCTGAGCATCATGTGGTCTGGACCTCTCCAGTGACGCTGAACTCTGCAGTATTGGAGACAGGCTGGCTGGTGGGGTCATTGCAAACCTAATCACTCCTATTCCAGGAAACAACAAAATGATGCTTTCCAGGGGGAGGAAACCTCATCTCACCAGTAAATGTTGGAATTTAGCCACAGGCCTCCCTTGTCTTTTGGGCCACCTAATATGCTACTACCTAAACCTGTCCCAAACTGACTCTAAAAGGTCTGTAATAGATAACAAGGAAACAGAGAAATCCAAAATTTGGTTTGAATTCCAAGTGAGTGAGCTATTATAAACTCTTTCTTATTCTCCAAGGTAAATGTGATCTTACACTGGTAATTACTTTTATCTTACAGCGTTTATTAGAATGTTGTTATTTGTTTGCTGGTTGGTTAGTTTGGTTTGTTGCTTCATTTGTTTCTTTGTTTGAGACAGGGTCTCGCTCCAGCACTCTGGCTGTCCTAGAGCTCACTGTGTAGACCAGAGTGGCCTTAAACTCACAGAGATCCACTTGCCTCTGCCTCCTGCATGCTGGGATTAAAAGTGTGCACCACAACACCTGGCTTCTTTTATTAATTTTTTTTTTTTAATTTATGGGTATGAATGTGTGCCTGCCTGGCTGTATATGTGCCTCATGCTTTCAGTGCCCTCGGGGACCAGAAGAGGTCATTAGATCCCTTAGAGCTGGAGATAGAGACACTTGTGAGCTGCCCCATGGGTGCTGGGAATCTAACTTGTGTCTTCTGCTAGAGCAGTAAGCACTCTTCATCACTGAGCCATCTCTCTAGCCTGGTCTTATCCTTGTAATAAAATCTCTTTGGGTAATCTGGGGGTGGTTTTCCAATGAAATCGGTCCCTGTTCTTTCCTAGGCCGATGAAGTTGCTCCTGTGGGGAACTATGAGAAGAGAAAGGAGGAGGAGCACAGTCTCCTGGAGAAGCTCTCCTGCCAGCTGCAGGAGCTTGCTGTGGGCATCAGCAGGTAAGGCACACTCAAGTCTGCTTCCTCCTTCCTCCAGTCCCCTGTCACCATCTTTAAAAAAATATTTGGTTCTGGAATAGAGACATGTGGCAGCACAAACAAAAATGTCAAAACAGTACAGGCAATAAAAGCATTTATTTGTTGTGGGTTCCAGTGTCACCTTCTGTGAGAGATGCAGAGTCATGATTGTCTCTCCTCCCAGACTGTATTCTAGCTGGGGCAATAGGCCAGAGATCTGAAAAGCAGAATGAGCCAGTGTTGGAAAATACGCACGCTTCCTTTAACATGAGTCTTGATGCAAACAAGGGAAGTGATTTGGGTTGTCTGCTTACGTCATTCCCTCTTTCAGAGAACATAAATGTTGCTGAAACATTAAATGTTCTGAAACATTAAATGTTAAACATTAAATGTTCTGAAAGCAGAAACATGCATTTTGTTTTTCTCTTTGCTGGAAAGAACATTAATAATAGTTTTTTGTTTGTTTGTTTTACAAACTATAAAACAAAGCCTGTAGGTATAAGCAAACCCAGTTTGTAAAGACTCTTCTCATGCTGTTCCTTAACTTGTTTGAGACAGGGTCCTCTGTGTCGCTCAGGCTGGTCTTGAGTTTGTAGTCCTCCCTCTGCCCCTCAGGGCTGGGAGTATGGGCATGTGCCAGCATGCCTAGCTTGTTCTCCAGCCTTTTACAGTGAACTCTAGGTAGAATGCTGATGGATAGACATACAAACATTCTGGGATTTTTTTTTCTGAGTTCTAGTCTTGAGAATGACAGAGGAGCCAGTGTTGTCTTTATGAACCCAACAGAAACACCTGTAAGTTGGAGGGAGGGGGGAGCAGCTAGTGGAAGACATTACACAAAGCTGGACTGTTATTCTTCATATACTTCATACTCCTCCTCTTCCTCTTTTTCCTTCTCCCTCTTCTTCCTCTTCCTCTTTCTCCTCCTTTTTGAAACAGGGTTTCTCTATATAGCCCTGGCTATCCTGGAACTCAATATATAAATCATGCCAGCATCAAACTCAGAGTCCACCTGCCTCTGTCTTCTAAGTGTTGGGGTTTAATGCCTCTGCCACCAAACCCAGTGTTGTCTGCTTCTCCTGAGATCATGTCCCAGGGAACCTGAACACAGTTCATCAAGACTTCCGTACTCGTCTCTCTTCAAGTCCTTTCACTCTGTGGTACCAGGACTCAGTCCCAGTGGACTTAACAACTCTAACAGATGACCCTGACACCTCAGCCCAGCAAGACTGGCTCCCTGATTCGAGTCCATCTTGTCCCTAGGGAACAGGTAAAGGCAGGATTCACTCACAAATCAGTTTCAATCTAGAGATCTTAAAAGATAGGAACACACCTTATACTCAAAAGGGAAAAAAAAATACCTAGACATTCAAATGAGCCAAAATATGAGGATTTGAAAAAAAAATATTTTTTTTTCAATATGCTGACAAGTTTATAGACAAAATGTACATATTAGGTGAGAAGATTAAAATGTTTAGTGGGGAGATGAAAACTAGGAAAAAGAAAAAGTCTGGGATAAAAAAGACAGTAGAAAAAAATTTAAACATTGAGTGGTTTCATAGCAAACATTTCAGTTGAGGAAAGAATTTATTACCCCAAGGCCAGGTTAAAAATTTTTAATCTTACACTAGAAGGAGAAAGGGGAGGAGGAAAAAGAGGAAAAAAAGGAAGAGGAAAGGAAGATTAAAAAGAGCATAAGGGAAAAATGGAGAGGGGAGGGAGGAGGAAGAAGGAGAAGGAAGGGAAGATGATAATAGTCTATTTGCATATATATATATATACACACACACATACACACACATATATATGTCTACATAAAGACATGGTGTTAATAACCAAAGATAAATAGAAATAGAAAATCTTAAAAGCAGCCAGGGGAAAGGGGACTGTTATGTAGAGACAAGTGACAGTCTGAAATACAGTTGACACTTCAGTAAAAGAATGCCTGTCAAAAGATAACTCTGACGTCTTAACAGGACTGAAAATACCCATCAATCCAGAATTCTGCATCCAGAGGGCCAAATTTCAGAAGCTGAAAAGAAAGGCAGTTTCAGACAAACAAAAGCTGAGGAAAGTTGTCAGCCTGCCCTGAAAGAAAGCTCCTCAGAGTGGAAGGAAACAACCCCTGGGAGAAATCTAATTCGCAAGGAGTGAAGAGCTACTGGTTTAAAAGTAAATATGAGCTGGGCATAGTGGCACACTCCTTTAATCCCAGCAATATATAGGCAAAGGCAGGCAGATCTCTGAGTCTGAGGCTAGCCTGGTCTACAGAGTAAGTTCCAAGATAGCTAAGCTACATAGTGAGACCCTGTCTCGAAAAAAAAAAGAGAGAAAGAGAAAGGAAAAGAAAGAAAGGAAAGAAGGAAAAAGAAAATCTAGGCTTTTCTATTTTAGATGCCTTTCAAAGACACTTGATTGGGTAAAACAAAAGATGTATTTGGGGAGCTTGTGATATATAGTTAGTCCGATTGCTTTGATAAAACCTATGACCAAAAGCAGCTTGGGGAGGAAAAGGGTTATTTTATTTGCCTTCTATATCCTGAGTCACAGTCTGTCAAAGGAAGTCAGGGCAGGAACTCTTAGAACGTGGAGGCAGGAATTGATTCAGAGCCCATGGAGGGGTGTTGCTTACTGGCTTGCACCCCACAGTTTGCTTAGTCTGCCTTCTTATAGAAGACATGATACTAAGTCAGCTGCAGCCAGGGTGCCCGCTTACTGCACAAAAGCTAAAGGAAAAGACAGCGTGGCCCCAGTGAGCCTGAGGAGGAACTAAGCGCTGATAACTCAGAGTGTCTGCTGCCTTGCAGATGTCTGCAGCCGAACACACAAGCACTGCACCGGCTAGTTCAATTTTAGCAAGCAAACAAGTTCACAGATACGGAAACTAAAACTAGTGAGGATTGGCCATGTGTGGTCAGAGCACAGCAGTGGTACAAAGGATTTGAGTTAAGTCTATTATCTTGAGATTCTTTTATTTTTGCTGATAATGAAACATTAATTCAGATCAAGCAATACAAGTTTAGATTATATTTTAATGCATACACTAGAAAAACAATAAGATGGAATGCTAAAATTTACTCAATAAACAGAAAATATTTGAAAAGAAAGAGTAAAAGAGAACAAAGGCACCACACAAGATGAATATAAACCAAAGGGCAGCACGCTTTGATGTAGTCACTTGGTAAAGGTAGGACTAGCATTCTGCTTAGCTTGTCAGGTTGGCTTGGGGCTTGGGTTTGTATGTTTTGTTTTGTTTCTGTAGACCCAAATATGTATACTGCTTATAAGAGTCATACATTAGTTACAAATAATAGATAAGTTCATGTATACTGCTTATAAAAGTTATACATTAGTTACAAATTACAGATAACTTCAAAGTAAAAGACTGGAAAATATATAACATGCAAATACTAATAAAAGCCAAGTAAGGCAGTTAATCAGGCAAAGTAGACATTTAGGCCCTAAGTGTTTATGACCTAAGAAAGAACATTTTGTGTTTATAAAACAGTGAGTTCAGTAGGGGAAAGAATCCCATTAACATATGAGTGTATAAAGGCAGAGCTGCCAGAACCATGGGTCAGCACATAATCCACAGTACTCAGCAACCTTGACTGATAGCATCGGTAGATGGTGTAGGCCTCTGCACCCAAGGACACAGTGTATGCTGCTTTTCAGGGCCAGTGCACATATGACATCAATTGTTAAGTGACCTAAAGGAGTCACAGAACACTTGTCACTGTGTTCCAAAGAATTGAATCTGTGCCATGTATATTGTTTGACATTTTGGAATTACATAAAATTATTAGAAATCACCAATGTTTGCAAATTAAGTCACACACTTTTATATAATTCATGAGTCAAAGTACTGAGTGACAGAACATACTGTGAATAAAAATGACTATGACTTGTGAGTTATGGCCAAAGTAGTGCTTAGGGGGGAGTGAAAGCTTTGCAGGAGTAGTTTGGAAAGAAGATTGAGACTCAATTAGAGCTTCTAACTTAAGCCAAAGAAGGAAGGAACCAAAGACAACCCAGGAAAGGGAGTGATATTTAAAAAAGGGAGTGGGAGAGAATCCAAGATGGCAGCAACCAGCGCACACTGTATCTGAGGGGCAGAGGATCTGAAACTCCAAAATTGGTGAGTGGAGGGGCAGCTGAACCCAAAACAATGGCATCGAGGCTTCTGGGGAGAAAGGGGACAAACCCTGAACTGAGACCAATAGGATACAGGTCAACTGCGGACTTCTCCTCGAACCTCTGGGGACTCAATTCCCAGGCACTTCTCCTTTAAGGGGCAGAGGCAGCGGTGGAGGCAGCAGGTGCAGTGCACACAGCTCCTAGCACAGAGCACAGTGCTGACTGCTCCAAGCACAGAACTCCCTGCTTGAGATCTGAGACAGAGAATACTCAATCCCCAGGCATTTCCCCACAACATGCCTCCCTTCTCCCCTTCTCCCTCCTTGGCAGAGGTGGCCCACAGTGCCCAACACAGAGCGCAGTGCCCAGTCCGCACTGCCCACAGCTCCTAGCACAGAGCACAGAACCGGCAGTTCCACAAGGCCAACCAGGCCCGCAGCTCCCCAAGGCCTTCCAGAAGGCATCTGTGCCAGTGGCCTCCTAGTTCTGCTGTGGTGGCTGGACTCCCAGTGGACCACAACACCAGCCCTCAAGTTCTGCAGCAACGTAGGGATTCCTGGGACAGCATTATCAACATTGAAGCCCCTGCTCTGCGGGTCTACTAGTGAAGTCCAGGCAATCGATTCCTGGAGCCCAGACAGATCTGAATACCAGAACAACAGTATGACTGGACTATAGACCACAGAGGTATTCAGGAAATCAGCACAAACACATTGCACCTGCAAACTGTGCCCATGAGCAATGCTAGCATCTGCACATCCTCCTGCACCTGCACCCCCCACATTCCAAGCATCTACACTCTCTAGCACTCTCTCCTTCAAAACACACTTAAACACACACACACA